TGTGCTGGGAGAACTGACATAGACCACAGGCTGGGGCTGGGGACTGCTAGTCTGGACTCCTGTCTCCTGCAAGAAGAGAGGAAAAAGCCACTTTCGTGACTTCAGGTGGACTGTGACAGACTCTTGGGAATATCCTGGCTGTTGACTCATAAGTAATGAACCGGTTTACTGTCTAGTTTCAAAACGCAGACATTTATTCTCAAGAATGACTTCTTTTTTTTCCCCCTTAGTCCGATCAGTCTTAGCCTGGCTCAAGTAGGAAAAACTCGGTTGAGGACTCTCCTCCCCTCTCCTGTTGGTTTGTTTGCTATGTAGCTGGGCTGTTGCATATGGCAGCCACTAGCCACATGTGGTCATTTAAATTTAAATTAACTAAAATTAAGCGCCACTAAATATTTCCTTCCCCACTTGCATTAGCTACTTTTCGGTGTTTGATAGCCACGTGTGGTTTGTGGCTACTATATTGGATGGCACAGATATAGAACATTTCCATCATCGTGGGAAGTTCTGTTGGACTGTGTGGCTTTGGAGCATTCCTGAGTCCCTCGGACCAAGTGCTCTCTTGGTATCTCTATCTTAGTGTATACGTGATATCCTGCTACCTCGCCATATAGTAAATGTCAGCTTGCTTGTTGCCTCGACCCTAGAGTGTAAGCTCCCTCAGGCCAGAGGCTATGTTGGTTATGTGTTGCTTCCTCTGCCTGGGAGCGTGTTGGGCTCACTCTTGATGCTCAGTTATTGAGTACAGAGTAGATGAACGGATGCGTGAACAAGCTGGAGGATTACCTTACTCTCAGTGTTTGTGGACACAAAATAATCCCTTTGGGGCCGGGGAGGTTTGGGTGATCCTATTAGGGCATACTCTTTCTGTTTAAACTCCACTTCATGGACTTCTTTGTTTTTATTTGTTTGTTTGTTTGTTTTTAAACAATCACAAATACACACAGTTCTTAAAACAGATGAAAACGAGACCCCGCAGTCAACTGAAGATGGTCTCTAGCAATGGCCTCATGCTGCCCCTGAACTTTTTAGTTGGCCTCAAAAACTGGTAATTTCTAGACAGGAATCCTTTGGGAGCGCTTCCGAAGCTGAGAACGATCTCCGTGTGCTGGGATAGGTTGGGCTTCTGGAGCTCTTTAACCTGTCTGTTTGCAGACAGAGCGTTCCTCTTGTTATTACGCTGTCTCTGGCACAAGTGCTGTGGCGTCTCTGTTGGCGCAGAGCAAACAATTTTCAGACCAACTTTATGGCCCATGGCTCAACCCCACAGGGCTGCCTGCAGCTCCCCTTTCTGGTGAGCTGTGGAGTGGACGGCAAGGCAGCCTCAGTGGGTATAAAAAGAAACTTTGTCATTCTCTCTCCCTCCTTTTTATCTGTGTATTCTCTTTAAAAAAAAATCTCTTTCCCCATTTAAATTCCAAATAAGAAAGATGAACAAGAACCTATACGTGACTTAGGATATGTTAACTAATTTAATCTTATCACAATACTATGAGGAGCAACGTATGCTACTACTTTCCTTTTTTTTTTTTTTACAGATGAGAAAACCAAAACCCAGAGAAGTTAGGCAACTTTCCCAAGATTACACAGCATGTAGGTGTTGGAGCTGGGAGCGACACCCATTGTCTGGATTCAGAGCCAGGCTTCTGACCACTGGGGTGCCCTGCCTTTCATTGTCACAGAGCAACACTGTAAACAGAAACACTGACCCTGTGGCAAAAATGATTTCACAAAGTAAAAAACTGTTTACTAAGAGCCTACTGTGTGCACCAGACACCAAACACTGAGTACCCAGATAAGCCGGCCCTGCCGTGCAGGCACTTGAGGCCCACTGCGACATGTTCCTGATAAGAGAGCTTGCTCTGAGTGGCGTGAGGACAGGACGCGCTGGGCTACCTGTGCCCATGTGTAACGCCGTGGGGAGGGTGAAGGGGGACATGGCCCGAGAAAGCAAGGCTCAGAGTGTGGGGGACCCCAGGGATCCCCGCACGGGCAGGAGCCTGGGAGGCCAGGTCTGTCACGCCACGCCGGCAGGGTTTGAGGCAATGCCACGTGGACAATGCCTCTACAGGGACACATTCATCCCACAAATAACGGGGTGCCCCAGCGTTGTGCTAGATGCCGGGCGGGGGCTGTTCCAGGCATCATCCTTGTCTTCATGCAGCTCGGAGGTGGGGATTGCATTGTTACTCAAACCACACCAATAGAGTCATCGGCACAAACTGTCACGAGCCATGAAGGAGAAGTGAGGTGTGAGAGCTTATGGTCCTCACCGGTGAGAGTCGGGAGCACGTCCCAGGATAGACGGCGTGAGCCCGTGTCTGAAGCAGGGTGGCAGGGAATGGAGAAGGATCGGTGTGTCTGAAGGCCTGGAGGTAGGGGGGCGTAGGTAGTTTGGGAGGTGGGGAGCAGGCCAGTGTGCCCCACAGCAGTGAGCTGGTGACAGAGGAGCCAGAGCAGAGGCTGGGTTGAGGGGGGTCCCCAGGGACAGGTTCTGCCTGGGCTGGCGACCGTGTGAGGGTCCTCAAGGGCAGTGGACACCACTCAAGGGGCAACCCGAGGGAGCCGGGCCAGGGGTCCTGTGAGGATGACACTGTCCCCTCTTGCCATCCCCGTCAACTTATCCCTCCTCTGTGTGGCAACCTGGGAGGCAGTGGGCTTCCTCTTGATATGACTATTTATGTTGTTTATTTTTGCCCTGAACACTAGATTCTACCAAATGCTGTGCTCAGGAGACACTATCAGGATAGTTCCTTTGGGGCCTTGGGCGGGACTCAGGTTTAACCTGTGAGATGGCCAAGTTGCACCCCCCATCACGACTAGGCCTGTGTAGTGGTTTCGGCCCTCAGATGCCCTTCCCCGTGCTAGGCAGCCAGCACCCAGGCATGCGGTCAGGGTGGTAGGAAGGACCGGCTTCATGGCTGGCCTGTGGTCTGTATATTCATGGACAGGCCTGGGCTCTCTTGGAGTTTGGCCGGCGTGGGGTTTGTGTTTCCAACGCTCCCTGGAAGGGTGTGGTACTACCCTCAACAAGTCTTCTGTGTGCTTTGCACAAAGGGCCTGCAAAATATGTCTGAGACAGGGCTTGTATTCACACCTTCGCAAAGCCTCTATGAGCTTGGTGTGATTATACGGTCAACTCTAGCATCACCAATGTCTGCCAGCCCGATGTGTGCTCCCGACATTGCCATGCAGTATTACAGGATATTGGTCCCCTCAACTCTGCTGCTAAAGGTCCTCAGTGTGCCCAGGGCTCTGCCACACGGGAGCGAGAGAGAGTGGACCTAGCTCTCTAGGCCCATATGATCTATTATGGGTTATTGAACAGAGCCCATGGATTGAAATGATCTAATTATTATTCTCCAACTGTATTCCATCGTTGTTAACAGGAGGAGGTTCACTGATAAATGTGCTTAAGATCAAATGAGTTTGAAAGATGCTTCATTGTGTATGCTTCTTGATCTGGTTATTGATTGCCAATAACAAGTGATGGTGAACTTCTTTAAACAATTTAGTATTATCTCTCGCAGTTCTGTAGGTTAACTGGGCTCAGCTGGGTGGTTCTTGGTTGAGGTCTGTCATGCAATTACAGTCGTCCCTCAATGTATGCAGGGGATTGGTTCCAGGACCCCCGAGTATACCAAAATCTATGCCTATTCAAGTTGTGTAGTTGGCCCTGCTGAACCCACATATATAAAAAGTTGGCTCTCCATATACAAGAGTTTTGCATCCCATGACTAATGTTTCAATCCACATTTGGTTGAAGAAAATCTGTATATAAGTGGATCCATGCAGCTCAAACCTGTGTTGTTTAAGGGTCAACTGTACTTATTTTTATTTTTGTTACTTGCAATCAGATAATAAGTGGGGCTAGAATCATCTTTACCCACATATATCCCTGTGCCTGGGCTGGTTGGACATTTCTCTCTCCATATGGTTTTGACACATGCTAACTTGGACTTCCTCACAGTATGGCAGTCACAGAGTTGTTAGGCTTCTTACACAGTGGCTGGTTTTCCTCAGAGTGAGGATTGTAAGAGGCAGAGGAGGGAGATGCTGGTTTTCCTCAGAGTGAGGATTGTAAGAGGCCGAGGAGGGAGATGCAAAGCTTTGTATAACCTAGTCACCCAAAACATCACTTCCACAACATTTTCTTGGTCAAGCAAGTTTCTGAGGCCAGCCAGTCCAGATTCAAGAAGAGGAGGTTAGATTCCATAGCTCAATGGGAGGAGTAGCAAATAATTAGCAGCTATCTTTAATTTGCTATACCTCTTGGAGGTTCACAATGCATAAGAATGTTTCAAAGTTGTCTGAGAAGTCCTGCACCAAAGAAATGTGTTTGCTCAGCATTTCCCAAGCTGATTACTATTGCTATTTTTAAAACCAGGAAATCCCTTTCCTACAGAAAATCACATAATCTATATTCTGTCAGGGAGAAGTGGGAAGAAATTGAAGGGTGATAGATTTGGGGCTCAATACTGTCTAATAAACAAAACTTTACAAAGATGGAACTTGGAGATTTATAGTGAGTTCCTGATTTGTGGAAGTACCCAAGAAGGGATTGCATGACCATCTGCATGGATGGTTAAAGCTTTGATTTTACTTCCAGCAGAGCTAGGTTCAAAATCAGCCTTTATCACTTATGGCTATGTGACATTGGGAAAATTACGCTCTCTGGACTTCAGTTTCCTTATCTACAAAATAAACAATTCTTATTTCATAGGATTGTTGTGAGGACTGAGGCCCTACATGTGAATTACTTGGCACAGTGCCTGTTAATGGTCTGTAATCATTAGACATTATTGTTTTTATGCTGTATAGAGAGTGCCTTCCTTGGCTAGACTTTGTGGTTGCTCAGTTCCCTTCATCTCTAGGGTTTAATAACTTTGGGTTTATTTGGGACTTGCTTCCCAAGGGTAAACTAGTACTATAAGTCATAGACTCACCCCACTTTTCTTGCAAAAGTAACCCCTATACTCTTTCACTTTTTTCCAACCTAGTTTCTAATAAGTGACCGTGACCCTCAGTGCAACCTCCACTGCTCCAGGACTCAACCCAAACCCATCTGTGCCTCGGATGGCAGGTCCTACGAGTCCATGTGTGAGTTCCAGCGAGCCAAGTGCCGAGACCTGACCCTGGGCGTGGTACACAGAGGTAGATGCAAAGGTGAGTGTACCCCCCCCCCAGCCAAGGAGAGGCTCCTGAGCACCACAGCTCCCTGCACTGTGCACTCTCCAGAGGGACCTTGGAATGAGTCTGTCCATTTGGTTTGCTGTCCTATCTCTCAACCCCTTTTACTGGGGCATAGGGAGGGAGAACTGGTCTACCTGAAGCAGTGAGCGCTTTTCTGTCTTGCAAACACTGCCACCAGGCTAGGACTCAGAGAGATGTGCTGCTGTCTGGCTAGTGCTTTTCCCTTTTTCTTTTCTTTTAATAGAGATACTTAAAATGGCAAGACTTCATTGCTGGCTCCTGAACAGGGATTCCATATTGTTGGCTGACACATATGTTTTATTTGGTCTACTCACATGTTTAAAAACATTTGGGACAACATTTAAAAATTGGGAGATTCAACATAAAAATCTGGCTTTTTGCACCTTTCTTCCAAAACTGGAAGTTCTGGTAACATTAGGTCTGTGTTCCTGCAAAGCGTCACACGGTTTGAGCTGAGCAGCGGCCACCCGCTTTAAAGGGGAGGCTGTTCTCCAGATTGCCCCAGTCTGCAGCACTCCCTACAGTCTCTCAGAGCTAAATGCCATTCTTCTCATACCCGGCTCATTTCTCTAATTCGTGTCACCTTCCTGAGTGCTGTAGGTGTTTGGGTGTGTAGCCCTGGACTGTTTAGTGTTGTCACAGGAGTGGCAGCAGGCTAAGCAGGCTACCCTAGAGCCTTTGGTTTTCTAAAGAAAGTGTTTGCAATTTTTGAACCATAAAACATCTCTGAGCCCCCCTGGGCCCCCCAAGTTTAATAAAAAGAAAAAACAAAGGAAAAAAAAAGGAAAGGGAAAAATTTTTTTTTCTGGGTGAGGCGAAGGGCACTTGGGAGAAAAGACAGGCAGAACCCGGTAAAAACATGAAGCCTCCTCCACTCCCCACTTTTCTAAGAATGACGTTACAAGGGAGATGGGCTGAGCGACAGTTCTTTAGCCACTGCCCTTTTGTTGTGGGACAAGCCTGCTGCAGGCCCGGCTCCCCCACAGGTGCAGGGGCTCCCTCTGCGTTTCTACACGAGGCAGTCATTTTGTCCCGTGTCCCAGCGTGGGCTCCAAGTGAAAAGCGAAACACACTCCTCTCCCCTTTTAGATGCTGGCCAGAGCAAGTGTCGCCTGGAGCGGGCTCAAGCCCTGGAGCAAGCCAAGAAGCCTCAGGAGGCAGTGTTTGTCCCAGAGTGCAGTGAGGATGGCTCCTTTACCCAGGTGAGACCTCGGACAATTCTCTTGGGCCGGTTGCCTGGACTCAGGCAGAGGGGAGGTGTCCGGCAGCGTGAGGGCCTCGGCCCCGCCTTCGCTTTCTGGGAAACTGCTGAGTGAGAGGCTCCTCAGCTCCTCCTGTGCTACCACCTCCCCCTCCCGGGCCCTCTACACCGCCTCTTGCCAACTGGCAGTGGGTTTTGAAAAGAGGCATGGGCGTCCGAGCCAGGAAACTGGCATCGCTCGGCCGTCCTCCCTGCCGGCCTCTCCTCGGAGGGCTAGACCTGCGCTTTTCTCTTCTGTCAGACGTGGGCTGATTATTTTTTCTTATTCCTGCCAGTTTCCATGGGCAACCCCGGCATTCGCTTCACTGTTTATTGCTACCCCTCTGGACTCCCTGCTTCCTACCCCAGTCCTTGAACGGAGCAGAGCCCTCTTTGAGCACAAAGTGATCTGTGATTCCTGGAGTGAAGGAGCGAGTGTGCGCGCGCGTGCGTGTGCGCACACGTGGGTGTGCGTGGGGATGCATACACTCAGATTTTAAAACCTCTTTTCCTGGAGGTGCCGTGGCAATGGGAGTGGGGAAGGTCACTGGACAAGGGTGAGCTTAGCCAAGTGGTTGGGTTCGGCTCCCAGTGCCTGCAACTTTCATTGTCCAGTTGAGCAGCATTTGGGGGAATCCCTCTCTCTTAGAGCTGGGGCAGAGGCTTCAGGGGTTTGAAAACTTCCCTGTCATTCTGAATCAATGGGGCAAAGGGTGTTGTCTGGCCTTTGGTCCGGAAGGGTCTCCGGCTTCATTTCTGGGCGGGGTGCAGGGGATTACTGATTTGAGACTACCTGCCTGTTGGGGTGGAAATGTAGAGGGATGGGCAGAACTGGACATCAGTGTTTTAAAAGTTTCCCAGTTGATTCAAATGTGCAAACAGGCTCAAGCACTGCTGGGTTACACTGACCTTAGCTGCCAACCCTGGGAGGGGTGCTTTTTATCTGTTTTCTCCTCTAAGCCTCATCGTAGCCTGTGAGGTAGGTGTTTTCTCCCTGTTTACAGATGATGCAACAGCAGTGGGCTGTGGAGTAGCAGAGCTTGTTCGAACCCAGATACCCCTGACTCCAGAGCCCTCCAAAGACCTCCCTACTCTGCTGCTCTCTGAAATGGCACCTGTCGTAGAGGCTCTGGGGTGGCACTGGAGGGAGGCAGTCTGGTGCTGTGGTTAGCACCGCTTCTAGAGCCAGACTGCCTGGCGTGAAGCCCAGCCCCCACCACCTCAGGCAGGTCCCTCAGCTTTTCAGGGTCACAGTTTCATCATCTGAAAATCAGAGGTTGATATCTCCATTATTGTTACGTGTTATAATAATAATTGTATGTCATAATAATTATGTTATATATATCATTATACATTACTATTATTAGTGACTATTATAGCTTCCCTCATAAGGTTGCGATGAGGATTAAATGAGTTAACACACTTGGAACACATAAAAGCTCTATAAATATTTATATCATCATTATTCCCATCTCTGCTGTGGTTCTATTACTCAAGTCTTGCTAAGATTTTGTGGTTGATATCACTTAAGGGACAAAAAAAAACCACCCAAATCTTTTAAATTTGAAACTCCCCATTTATGAAAATTGATGAATTCTGTCATTAATTTTTTTATTGATTATTTATTCTAGTAAGAAGAATGCAGGTGATCTTTGTATATATTTGAAACTGCACTGCTAAGAATTCATGTCCAGGGGGAAGAAATCAGACCTGTCTCAGATTAGTTTGTGCTGAGACAGGGTAAAGGTAACAGAGAAGAGGGCAGAGTCTGTGACATCGGTTTTCCCTTCCTCGAGGCTTGTGTAATCCTGGGTGTGTTGCTTATGAGGATGGTTGACCCCCTGCCCTCCCGATTCCGAAGTGTTTGCTGCCTTGTGACAGACAGCCTGCTGGCCGGCTTTGTTTTGTCGAGGTCAGGCAGGACCAGGTGGTGTTTGCTGGGGGAAAGGAACTTCCAGATTAGTCCGGGCTGAATTGCTAAATGAGAGGGCCCCTAAAGTTCAGCAAAGGTTGTGTAGACAGTCAAGAACCCGCTCATTTGTTTGACACGCTAAGCACTGCCATGTGTCTGTAGGCTCGAGGCTGGCCCGCCCCGGTGGGCAGCCAGACAGCCAGACAGCGGCCCATTCCCAGCCAAAGTGATTGAAATGGATGTGCCTTTCTTCTGATCAAAGACACTGCAACAACTTCACAAAATGAGGCTGCCTCTTTGAGTGTGCTTCAGTCCCAGTGACAAGCTGCCAAAATGCCGAGATGAATGCTTTCTCCTTCCCCCAACCTGTGCCACCACTTAGCTGGGCTTTTTATTTTTTGCAAGAACAAAACCAAGAGACAAACTACACATTGCTTTAATATTCTTTAGAATATTGATAGGTACACATCCTGGTGTTAATAACATATTTTAGCCCTGTGAATATTACACGGTAACCCTCTCTTGAAATTTATGGGGGAACTTACCCCTGACCCAAGTCACACACACAAGTGGCTCATCTTCCATCTATACCAGCAACGTTGTGCATTAGATTTTTCAAAGTCTCAATACCTGCGCCACATCTATTAAATCAAATTCTGGGAGTGGGACCCAGACATTGTTTTTTTTTTTTTTTTAAGCTTTCTAGGTGATGCCAGTATTTGGTCAAAGTTTCGAACCACTGTTCTAAGGACTTCATCACTCTTATTTATTGATTACATCATTGGGAGGTAGAATTAAGCCTCTTTGGTGATCTGTTGAGGAAGAGCAGGAGCTACAGACTTTGTCCTTGGCTGCAGTCTTATCTGTTTTCTCTTTTGGATATTGGGAACATAATTCCTGACATCTGTTCTACCAAGTCGTCTGCCAAGCAGTTGTCTGGTGCCCAAGCTGATTAACTAAAGCATCAGTCATGGTGGGACGGTGTTGGATCTTCACCATCAGATAGTGTTGGCTGGAGCTTGGCAAGCGTGTACATCATTGAATGATAATGATGTTGACTCTTTATTGAGTGGTCCCAGGTGCTAGGCACTGAATTTTATACTTATTAATCTTCGTTAAAACCTTTTGAGGTTATTAATATAATACCTTTATTTATAAAGGAAAACTGAGGTTTGAAGGGGTCGAATAGCTGGTTTAAGGTCACTAAGCTAAAAGGGATTTGTATTCAAGCCTACCTAATTTTGAGGCCCATGCTTTTAAATTTTGGGGGCTACAAAAGTGGCCTTGATGCATATGAATTCCATTTTCATCACCATTGTTATTCCAGAAGTTCTCTCTCTGATGTTGTTGAACAATTGATTAAACAAACATTTAAAAACCCCAAACTTTTGATTATAGAAATTGAAAAAAACATAAAAAAGTAGAAATAACAATATAATGAACTCCATGTACCCATTACCTAGCTTCAGCGATAATTGACATGCTGCCAATTCCGTTTCATCTTTACCCCATCTTCATCTCCCACTTCAAATTGGATTGCTTTAGAGCAAATTTCCAGACACAGTATCTTTTCATCCTAGACATTTTTGAGCTCTGCTGTATTCTGGGCTGTAGGTTGCAATGGGGCATTCAGAAAAATATCATGACCTCTGCCTTCAAGGAGTTTACATGCAGAAAAGATATTAAGACATATGACAAAGTAACTATGTAAAAGAACATATATATACAACTGGTAATATTACAGAAGTCCATTTACAAGTCAGTTATTTGGAGTTATGAATGCATTTTATTATTTAGAAAATATATACAAATTTAAAATTTCTGAACACAAACCCCTTAAATAAAACTAAAAGCAAGTGGGGCATAGTGGAACATGCCTGTATTCCCAGCTACTTGGGAGGCTGAAGTGGGAGGATCGCTTGAGCCCAGAAGTTTGAGGCTGTAGTGTGTTATGATCACACCTGTGAATAGCCACTACACTCCAGCCTGAGTGACACAGTGAGACCTCATCTTTAAAAAACAAAATTGAGGCCGGGCGCGGTGGTTCACGCCTGTAATCCTAGCACTCTGGGAGGCCGAGGCGGGCGGATTGCTCAAGGTCAGGAGTTTGAAACCACCCTGAGCAAGAGCGAGACCCCGTCTCTACTATAAATAGAAACAAATTAATTGGCCAACTAATATATATAGAAAAAATTAGCCGAGCATGGTGGCGCATGCCTGTAGTCCCAGCTACTCGGGAGGCTGAGGCAGGAGGATTGCTTGAGCCCAGGAGTTTGAGGTTGCTGTGAGCTAGGCTGACGCCATGGCACTCACTGTAGCCTGGGCAACAAAGCGAGTCTCTGTCTCAAAAAAAACCCAAAAAAACCAAAATTGAAACCAAATCAAACCAAGCAGCAGCCCAAAAGCAAATGACACACATTAGCCTTAATGACAAAGAGCCAATCTTATATAAAGAACTCCTATAATTTAGAAAGAAAAAGATTCTAGTAGAAAAGTAGGCAAGAGATATCAAGAAGCAGGTCACACAATAATAATAAATAGCCAGTAAGTGAATAGGAATGATGTTATCTTCATTTATCATTAGAGAAATACAAACAACAATGATGATGGATTATTTTGCTTACCAGATTGGTAAAAATTGGCAAAAGTTGATAATATTCAGGGTTGGGTGAAGGGAAAAGGCTACCCATACATTGTAGTTGGGAAAGTAAATTGACACTGACTTTTTAATGGGTTAGTTTGCAATATGGGCCCAAAATTCTTAATTGTGCTCACATTGTGGGCCTGCAATGTCACTCCTAGGAATGTATTCTAAGGAAATAATCAAAAACGATGTGAAAATATTTAGCCACAAAGATTTTCACCTAAGTTCTGTTTAAAATAGCAAAAATTTAGAAACAACCTGAGTATCCAATGATAGAAAATTGTTCAAACAAATTATGACATAGCCATGCTATGTAACCACTGAAATGATGTGTTGTAGACACTTATTTTATATGTGTGTGCATGTATGTGTATCAGGGACTTCACTAAGCAAATAATTAACAAAA